CCACCCAGCAGGAGCTACAGAGAGATCTGAAGTTTCCTTCTCTTCGTTTGGGGTTTGGAGGTGCCCAGATGAGGCACAGCTGTGAAGCAATGCAGGCTGCTGACAAGCCTTAGGCCTTCTTTTGGAAGCTCTGGGGTTCTTTGACCCAGCTGCAATTTGTTAGGTTTTAGATTGCAAAAGGCCAGGCCATTCGTATGCAAAAGCCTCTGCACACAGCTTGGGTGGGGTTGTAAATTGGGTGAGGCAGGTCTCAGGGAATCATGGGGTGGTGCAAACAGCAATGGTTGCCTGTTGGCCCTGCCCCGATAGGTCCCTGGGTCTCTGTGTTCTCCGGCCCTGTGAAGGAACAATGAATGCTGTGAGCACCGCTGAGAGAAAGCTGCCCTCGTGTTCCAGCCCGATGCCAGACAGTCCAATTTCTCCCTCCCCGTATGAGTCTGGGTCCCCAGAGTCTCGCCCGGAACTGGAGTTCAGAGCAGTCAGGAGTTTGTATCTCCCTCTCGATTGAAAAAGACCACAGCATACCCAGTCGCCAGCCCATTTTGCGCACCTCCGTACCTTCACTCTTCCACACCTCTTACTAGTCTAGATGCGCTTTTCTCTTTCCTTCTGGTTGTCAGACTTCCACTCAGCCAGCTTTTTCGTGGTTCTGGATGATATCTGTTTTGTCTTTTAGTTGTAGTTTAATATGGTTGTGCGAGTTCAGGTGTTTACCTATGCCTCCATCTTGGTTCCTCCAAAAATACCCTTTAAATAACATGTCATCAGAGGGTTTTCTTACCAGGTTGTGAAAATGTGTGGTGAATACTATGATCCATCTACCTATTTATCTATTGACTTCCATCTATGGTCTGCTTCATTGAGCAGGTTTAGGGCTGTAGGAGGCCAGGCCAGACCATCTCAACATTCCATGTGGGTAGAATGCCTCACAGTGACTCCTCTCTAAACCTGAGGACGCATGAAAGAACCTGAACCAACACTGGAAAAACCATCTAAAATCCGACCCTGCCTCTCTTTTTTCCTGTCCCCATGCTCCACTATCTTTGCAGCCTGGCAAAAATGTGTCTACTGGGCTGGTTCTTCCCTAGGGTACTTATCA